GAGGGCCTTTTTTCTGTGTCGAAAGACTCCCGTCGTCATCGGCACACAAACACGCGCTCTCGTCGTCGACATTGCTCGAAAGTCGAATCAACAAAGATTCGAAGCGAAGAAGTTTCTCGAGCGATCTCGACGACCGCACGAATTAACGCTCTAATTCTGAACACCAACGATAATGGTCCCACGCTTAGGCTTAAGACAGGGTTATAAATCTAGTAATGACATTTTCCGACACTGAGAAAAATCAACACGAACCACGACTCTCGATTAACTAATCCAGAGATATCTATCCATCGTTCAACGTGAGAATGAATAAAAAATGACACAGCAGGCGGAGCTAACCGGAAGGCAATTTTCCAATGACGAATCAAAACTGTATCACCTCAGAATCCTGCAAACCTGATTCCCTAATTTCCCAATTAGACACACCCTACCATGGAACCTCCCCCTAAACTATCCCTATATAAACCGCGACATCGCGAGACACAGGGCAGAGAGATAGAAAAAGGGTTTTTATGCAGTCAGTAAACTCAGTGCATATACACTTTAGCACTAAACAGTGCATTTTCAAGTATATTGAAACATTAAATTCAGTGCGCAAAAGAAGTCAACCGTTGGAGAGGCCCAACCGAGATCAGCGAACCGATGGCCAACTACCCAGTCTCACCACTCTATCAGAAAACAGTAAGTTTCCCCTTCCTTTATCATAATTAACGAAATTAGTTAACAACCCAACATGTATTGCCTCTCCGACATCACACACACATAACACACTATCAAACTCAATAGCGGCACAAATAAACCAATAATCGTACCGATGTACAACTAATTATGTCAACTTGTCAAGTTTTTCTTCGATGTATGTAAACCTAATGATTATCTTTAACTTAAATTTAATTACAAAATATATGTAAACTCAACACTTATGTTTTAATTTAATTATAAAATTTATGCAAACTCGATAATTATGTGTGCTTTAATTCAATTATGAAATTTATGATTATGTTTAACTTTAATTATATTGGGTATGGGAATAAGTTTCCGCCCATTGTAGAAAGATGTCGTTAGTAGCATTGCTTGTGTGTTTGATAGAACGGCTACACATGTGTTTGAAAGGTTTGTGTTCAAACTTTTGAGCCCAATAGTTGGCATTCGTTCGAAGCGTAAAAAAGAGTAACTTTTTTTGCGTTGAAGATGTCGGAATTTATTCCAAAAAAGCAACATTTACGGGAAGTTTTACTCCATTATTTTATTTCAAAAAAAAGTGCTGCAGAATCGCATCGTATGCTCGTAGATGTTTATGGTGATCATACTCCATCGAAAACCAGTTGTAAAGAATGGTTTCGGCGATTCAACAGTGGTGATTTTGACGTGCGTGACAAAAAATGCGAAGGTGCACCGAAAAAATTTAAAGATGCAGAATTGCAAGCATTACTCGAAGAAGATTCATGTTTATCTTTCGATAGGTTGTCAAAAGAGTTAAATGTTGATAGATCCACTGTTGAAAACGTCTACACGCAATGGGAATGGTGCAAAAAGAAGGAAATTGGGTGCCATACAAATTGAAAGAGACATGGAAAGGCGTTTGGTCATCTGCGAGATGCTTCGTCAACGACAACAAAGGAAGGGTTTTCTACATCGTATCGTAACTGGCGATGAAGAATGGATCTACTACGATAACCCTAAACGCTTGAAAGCATGGGTGTAATGAAGGGTGACTCAATTTGAATTACAACTAATATTTAATATAACTTAACAATTATTACATTACAATGGTTAAATGTTTCAAAAGCCAATATGAGCCGACAGAAGATGTCAGCGTGCAATGATAATAATTTATTATAAATAAACTAAATTTAAACTAAATTTAAACGTTTCGACCTATGATCAAGGTCCTCTTCAGTATTATAAATAAGATTCATATTATAAATAGGTAACGCAATGTATTATACAAAGTATAACAAAGAATAACCTAAGAACGTGTAGCGCCATATAATGTGGTGGAGTTGTAAATCCCGCAGTCAGTATCATACTCATTAAAGTGTCAAATTTACTAAAATAATTAATTGAAATCATGTATCAAAATTATTAGGTTTATTTGGAAGAGAGAAATATAACTAATTAATTATAAAAAGAGGACACTCACATGAGTGAAAGATATGACTGTTCAGCGACCTTGCAATTGAATGATCCATTAAATTGATCGGTTTACTAATTATAAAAAAATTATATGTAGTAATTAGTTAGTATTACGATAAAAACCATAATAAGGATAATAAAAATTAAAGCTTACATGAATCACAAACTGAAAGTACAACTTCAAACGTACAGAGTTAACCACGGAATAAACAAAATTGAGAAAGGAACTAAAAACGTGGCGCTGTAATCCGCTGACAATGTGAATTGCCAATAACTAAATTTAGGATTATATACATGAACGAAATTTATCAAATATGGAAGCACTATGGGTCAGCAAATAAATCAATATATAATGGATCAAGAGATTGTGTATCAATTTGTAGATTCAATCCATGTTTTTGTTTCTTTATATGTATCATTTCAGATATTAACCTCTTTTTTAATATTTTCTCTTTGTCCAATATATGTATGGACTCCCAATCAAATTCATGAGACGAATCAATTCGATGTTGTGTAATTACGGAATCCTGGGTAGTATTTCTATTAATATGATTTTTGTGTTCTTTTAAGCGTGTTGATAGGAATCTACTTGTCTGTCCTACATAAGATGAATCACAATCCTTACAATTTATTCTGTAAACTACGTCTGATTGAGACAGGTATGGTAAACGATCCTTTTGAACTTTAATTATTTTATTCAGTATATTAATGCCTATGTATGCAAACCTTATTTTAATTGAGAGTCTTTGAAAAATTTTTTAGTTCTTTCAGAGATTTTTGGAATAAACGGTAAAGTAAAAAATTGCACTATTTTGTTATTAACATCCCTTTCTTCATTATTTCTTTTTTCAGTTTCCTTAATTTCATCTGTTAATTGTTTATCAGAAACTAATGTCATTTTATTAAATATGTCAAATTTTTTGTAAAGTCTTTTTTTAATGGTCGTTATTATAAGGTCAAGTGGATATCCGTTATTCATTAAAATTTTTATAATTGAGTCAAAATTTTTTTGATGAAAAAGTGGATGAGATAACAGTAATACTCTATCTGTCATGCCAATAATAGTACCTATTTTTTGACACGACGTGTATACGCGATCGCAACACAATAAAGAAATATACAAAGATATCAGGCTAAATATATTCTTCGTAATCTTCAACTATCAACATTGATCTTTCGAGCCGGATAACAATCCAAAAAGCACGATCTCGATACAAGGAAGATCCCAATTAACAAGAGGCTATCGGACAATAAGATCTGAGAACTTCGACGCAACAGCGAGCGATATCGGGACTTTGAGAGATCACGAGAGCAGCCAAGGCGCATTAGCACAGCAAATCGGTTAGACAATCAAATCTGAATGAACATCGAAGAAAAGTTAACCTTGTTAAAACGAAAACGCGCAAACGTAAAGGCAGCATGCACGCGATGCAAAACTTATATTGATACGATGGAAACTACATCAGAAAATGTCGCGCAAGCCAAAGCTATGTTAGAGAAACTCGGCGAGAGTTGGTCTCAGTACGAAACAGTGCAATCGGAGCTAGAATTGTTGGTTGAGAGCGAGGCCGTTGACAGAGAGACTTTCGAGGCCGCGTTTTTCGCTCTAAGTAGCAAGATTCAATTAATCATAAATAGTGTCAATGCCGAATTACCGACAGCTTCGAATAATTTGGCAGCGCGATCGCGTAATGACGGTAACGTACGATTACCCAAAATAAATTTACCGACATTTTCTGGCTCTTACGACGAATGGATGCCTTTTCATGACACCTTCTATTCGTTAGTTCATACAAGCATCACGTTATCAAATATTGAACGATTCTATTATTTGAAATCCTCGTTGGCTGGTGGGGCGTTAGAAGTGATACAGTCGTTAGAAATTACAGAGAATAATTACGAAAATGCATAGGCTATGCTCAACGAACGGTACGACATCAAACGGCTCATAATGCAAAATCACACAAGGCCATTTTCGAACTACCAGGCACGAGTAGAGAGAATCCAGTTTCATTGAGGCAGATCATAGATGGTACATTAAAACATGTAAGAGCGTTAAGGGCACTCGGTCGTCCAACAGATGCCTGAGATGATATCTTAATGCACTTGATAGCGACAAAGATAGATATGATAACGTTAAAAGAATGGCAAACGAGTTTACCGGATGCAAAATCGATATCGAGTTTTAAGCAAATGACAGAATTCTTATTACGCAAATGTCAGGCGTTGGAAACGGTTAGTAAGAAAGCGGTTACATCAGCGCCAGCCAACACTGATTCCAAAGTAATAAAAGCAAAAAATACATCGTCATTTCTAGCAAACGTCAAGGAGAAATGCCCCATATGTAAGGATGAACACTTTATATTTCACTGTCAGAAATTTTTAGGACTTTCCACAGAGCAAAGGTTCCAACAAGTCAAGAGTCATAAACTATGCACCGTTTACGCGCTAGCAATCATCAAATCAGAGAGTGCAAAGCACGTACGTGCAGGCATTGTAACAAAAGGCACAACACATTATTACATCGTAGTTCGGCCACAGAATTCGTATCATCAGAGAGCGAAGCAGGCAAGGAAGGCCAGGCTCAAGATACGGTGGTAGCAACCTCAGCGCGGATAGATGACGTATCAAATGCAACACAGGTGCTGCTGTCAACAGCAATGGTAAAGGTATATGACCGCACAGGTAAGAGCCATAATTGTCGTGCCCTTCTAGATAATGGTTCGCAGTCACACTTTATAACCAAGGATCTAGCAAGGCGATTGGATCTAAAAACAAAGCAAATCAACGTAACCGTCTCTGGAATTGGAAGAGTAGCGTCTCAAGCGAATGACATAGCAAGACTCAAAATAGGTTCAAACTATAACGCTTTCCAAACAACCATTGATTGCATGGTGATAAATCGCATAACCAACAGGTTACCTAGCAATCGGATCGATAGCAAGACTATCGACATCCCGAAAAACATAAACCTAGCAGATCCTAATTTTCACATTCCCGCAGACATCGACCTACTGATCGGAGCGGAAATTTTCTGGCAACTCACACGTGTCGGCCAAATCAAGCGAATCAATAATCAGGTCATTTTACAGAAAACACAGCTCGGCTGGCTAGTGGCCGGTAAGATAAGCACAGCTACCAAGATATTGGGAACTTTACACTGTCACTTGAGTATCAACAACGACGAGTTGGATAAGAAGCTAACTCAGTTCTGGCATATCGAAGACTGCAGCATCAGTCAAGCGTACACGAGAGAAGAGAGATCATGTGAAGAATACTTTCGTCAAACTACTCGACGAAACGAACAAGGGCGTTTTATCGTCAGGCTTCCGACCAAGGAAAAGGAACTCGAAAAATTAGGAGAATCGAAATCAATCGCAACCAGGAGATTCTACTCTTTGGAAAGAAAATTTAGGCAACAGCCAAAACTAAAGCAAGAATACGTGGAATTCATGAAAGAATACTTGATGCTCGGACACATGCAGAGGATCAAGGACGATCAAGAAGTCAGTGATCATACATATTATTTACCACATCATGCAATCATAAAGCAAGCAAGCATCACAACAAAGCTGCGCGTGGTATTCGACGCTTCCTACAAAACAAGCAGCGGAATTTCGTTAAATGATGCTTTAAAGACAGGGCCCACGATACAGCAAGATTTATTTTCGATTGTAATCAGATTTCGAACATTCACGTACGTATTAAACGCCGACATAACCAAAATGTATCGGCAGGTGATGGTAGACGCAACATTTACACCTCTGCAAAGGATAGTGTGGCATGAAGAAGACCAAAATTTGGAAACTTTCGAATTGCTGACCATCACATATGGCCAGGGTTGGTAAAAAACATGTTTTAAACGTGTTTTAAACAGTTTAAAACATGCTTAACCCTTCCATCACACACGGGGTCCCAGGGACCCCAGTCCCGGTTCGCGCTTCGATTTGACCACCTTAATATTTGAAACGGGACTTGTGGCGCCCTCTATCGGTT